CATTCTGTCCCTCCCCTAGCTTGACCATCCTGTTCCCTCATGTTCTCATCCCCCCTCCCCCCTCCACTACCTCCCCATCTCCAGTTTCATCATGGGGATCTCCTCTGTTTCCCCTTCCCAAGATGATTCATAAATCCCTCTTAGGGTCCTCTAAAAGGAAGGTTTTAACTTTAACATAGTAAAATTATAAACAACAAAAAGACTTATCAAGTAAAAATTACAGTTATAATATCCAGTCTATTTGTATTTGGCAAAATAGAGTAAACACTCCATCAGCCATCCTTTCTTGAAGAGTCCAGAGTTTTGTACCTAATTCACTTTTTACTGTGATTAGGGAGAACAGTAACTGTACCTATCTAGTCTTCAACCACATCAGAGACCTGAAAAGGATATAATATTACCTGAGTAAACAGGAAGTGCAGAGCAAGTAACTTCCAAAATTAAGAGATGGCAGAAACAGCTGGCTGTTTAGACAGTCATCCTAGGTTCTTTTGTAACATTGGGGAATCCAACTTTGGCCTACAGACCTAGTAATTTGACAGACATTTTTGAGACACAGAATTTTGAAGGACTGTCCTGCTTTGTCTTCACAAAGTTTGGCAGTTGTCTTTCTTTGTGTCCTGCTTGTTCAGTTTAGACAGCGTACTGTCAGCTGTCATGGTGAGGATAGTTTCTTACCCAAATGGCTAGCTTCTGCCACAATTTTTGTTGTTGATGATCTGAATTACTGTATGATATGCTTTCCTTTTGCCTAAAAGGTGGTTTCAATAGGGCAGATCTAGTAGTAATAATACCTTTACCCTCTCCCCCATTGACAGCCCAGCTCCCTCTCTGTCAGGGCCACCACAGAGCTACAGGCATAAGGTAGGATCATGGTAAGATAAATACTCCAATCTTTTCTGTTTTGACAAATTTGCATGTGGGTTTGGATGATATATAGCTTTATTTTGTTTCTATTTGCTTTGCTTGTTTTCATGTTTGTTTGTTGAGATGGAATTAACTTTTGTTGTCTAGACTAGCTCTAACTCTTGACCCCCCCTTAGGGGCAGATAATACCATATCCTTCTATGACATGGCCTTAGCTGGGCATCTGAAAAGCTTTCCTTAGATTCTAGAGTTCTGAGAAGAGTTCATTCTCAAAACATCTCCGTGGTTTTGTTTTCTTTATTGAGACATGTATTTTCAGAGTTCCTTACTTCACCATTTTTGCCTGCATCACTCTTTCTTTACTTATTATAGCTTTTATTGTGTAATCATTTATTCATTACACATGGGGTCAAAATGCTAAAGGGGTAGATTTTCTTTTGAGTAAACTGTACCTGAGAAAATAAACTCTCAGAGTATTCATTTTAAAAGAACTTCAACTAGATTTGTTTTGTTACATTTTATTCTACAAATAAAAGTAAAATAGACACAATAAAATCTGGTTTTCTTAAAATGAATGTACTCTTTAATTTAAAAAAACTTGACTTATAAATGTAGAATACATGTATAATAACTAGGTAATATATGCCATTTTCCTCTTCACATTCAAATAATGGTCTCAAAGTAACGAATAAAAGATGAAGAATTCAGCCGGGCGGTGGTGGCGCACGCCTTTAATCCCAGCACTCGGGAGGCAGAGCCAGGCGGATCTCTGTGAGTTCGAGGCCAGCCTGGACTACCAAGTGAGTCCCAGGAAAGGCGCAAAGCTACACAGAGAAACCCTGTCTCGGAAAACCAAAAAAAAAAAAAAAAAAAAAAGAAAAAGAAAAAAAAAAGATGAAGAATTCATCACTAATTCACTAATTCATGGTGTTCTGATCTGGAGATCTTATGCACAATCTAAGACTGAGTTGCACAGCCTGACTTCAGCACTGCAGTCAAAGAAGAAACAAAGTGAAAACAAGGTACGTAAGCCGAAAATGGGTGAGAACCAGGATTGTCATGCAGGTGGATTATAAAAAGCAATTTAGGAAAGTTTCATCTTTGCCAGTACTCAGTCTTGTGATCTTTATCTGATGCCTTTCTTCTCTCACTGCCCATATTGATCTGATATTAATTACCAATATGCTAGCAAAAGTGAATTTCAGAGCCCAGCCTGGTATGTCTGTTGGTATTGTTTCCCAATTTCCCAACAGCTTCAAGATCTTAAATAACATCTTTACCTAATACAGTATATGTTACACAGGTATTCTTGCATCTTGTAAATACATATCCTAATTGCAAATATGTTAGTATTTTTATCTACATGAGTGAAATGGACTTCCAAATGTTACCCCAAGAACATTTTATACATCTACATAAGTGAGCATATAGAGAAACAGCTCATGTGAGGAGTAGAATATTCATTTGACAGACTTGCCAATGAACTCTGAGACTCTAACTCATTCATAAGTCATGGAGCTCCTATGTACCAGGAATTTTGTTCTACTGCCTTATATCCCTGCCATAGCCACAGAGCAACTGTCTTTAGCCCCAGCCAGTTCATGCAGGTGAATTCCAGCAACCTTCTCATCCGAGGCCTTCTGTGATGGCCTCTGCTGCCACAGCTGCTGGGCTAGGATGCTCATCAAACACTCATTCAAGTACAGACTGGAAGCATTCCAAAGGACAGACTGAGGAGAGACAAGTACACATGTAGATGCTCCCTCAATTCTTACAGGAAGAACAGATTCCTTTATGGGACTTGTCAATGCTCAGGAAGCCTTCTGGGATTTAGGAACAAGATGCCCGAGAGCTCAGCCAGGTGAAGGCACTATCCTCCACTGTTTCTCTCTTTTACACAATGTAGTAATTAATCATTCACTTATTTTCCCTGGATCACATTTTTCTAATCCAGTACTTTGTTCCTCCTTTTTATTTCTAGTGAACTTAATTCTAAGGCTCCCTGGCTTTAAAATGATCACTGAAAAATATAATGAATAATTATATTGGCATAAATTATAGGTTGAGACTATCATGCAAATAAGTAAAAACATAATCATAAACATTTGTTTAAATCAAAGTATGTGAACAAAAGTACTATTGGGCACATACACACAATATCCTCTTTATTTCATTTGAGCAAAGGATTGTCATTCAACAGTGTGATGTTTTAGCTCAAATATTAACTGTCAGGCCCAGGACTTTTGATTAGAAGTAAAAAGAAAATGTTGCTTATGTAAATTGTAATATTGGCTAGGAATTCCATAGGCTGCAGTTTTTAGCTTAGAGTGGAGAACAAATGAATCTTAGCCACTAAGGGGCATGGCATTTCTTTAAGTCTTTCTGGGTGGGAAGAAGATGGGTCCTTGACTTTAAAATCAGGAATAAGCTACAATGAAACAATTGTGAGCACAATTCCATCAGCAGCAAACCCTGCACTGAAAGCTTTGCTAAATGTGTCAAGTCGGAATATGATATAGGCTCATTCTGATAGGCACTATCACATTTTGTTCACACAGCGCCACATGTTCACACTGACTTATCTAAAATCCATGCACTTTAACGCTTTGGCCGGCTCTCCCTGAAGATCACACATGCTTCATTCATAGGCTGAATGCTCCATATGTGTCTTATGGGAGTCCAACGTAAGTACTAGCTAAACTGTCGCCCGTGCCCTGAAAGCTCTGACATTCCATGTCATCCTTGGTCCTGCTTTGGCTAACCTCAGACACTTGTTTTCTACTGCTGGAGCAAGATCCTGAGAAAGTTTTTGAGTGACAGCAGGGGTATCAGCAGATACCACTTGGCATCCTTAATTCATCCAAATCATGCTCCAGTCTTGAATTTAAATGTTGGTTTCCTGTGGGTTATTTTTTTCCCTTCTTCCTGGCACAATGCTCTTTGAATGGCAAATAGTAGGCTTGGGATAAAAGGGGGAGATGATCAGTTTCGCATGAATCCTAAATGGTCTTAATAAAAACTCGGAGCCAGATATTGGGGTAAATACTGAAAGATCAGAAAGACAAAGGAACAAGCCACAGCCACTTCTCACCTCGCCAACTCCACAAATCTTCTGATTGTATGCCCCTGAGTCCTCAGTTGAGTACCTGTCTCCTCCCACCTTACATTCCTTTCTCCACCCAGCCATATCACTTCCTGTCTCAACCTTCCTAGTGCTGGGATTAAAGGTGTGTGCAACCACTGCCTGGCAGTTTCTCTTTTATACTGGATTAATCCAGATGGATCTCTGCCTCTGCCTCCCCAGTGCTAGGATTAAAGGTGTGTGCCACCACTGCCTGACCTCTCTGACTAACTCTGTGGCTAACTCTGTCCTCTGATCTTCAGGCAAACTTTCATTTCTTAGATTACAAGCAATATATCACCACAATCAGAAAGCTTATATGACTCTAGAAATATAGCCAGCAGCTAGACAAATATAAGACAGAATTAGTGATTGTTTTTCTGGTCTGTTATCTCAAATACTAGAGAAACATCCAAATATCTTCCTCAGGGCAAAAATGGAGAGATGCCCTTTCACCAATATCTATATATTAAGTATGAATTTCAAGTCAGAAGACTAAATGACTGAGTAACAGCAACACCATTTGCTTCTTGTGTGGCTCTGACTAAAGGATCATTTTTATCACTGGTAAAATATGGATTACGATATTTGTATGACCCTAGAAACTTAGGCAGGAGCAAATTGTAAAAGTGTATTACAAAGTATAAAATATGCAAAGATGATGGGTTATTATTAGTAATGATTTATTATTATTACTGATAAGGCTCATTTATGTGACAGCAGTCCATTTGTGTCTTCATATGAATTTGAGAGACCTAAAAGTCTGTTTCTAAAGGAAATAACCTGGGATTTCTGAGGCAAGTAGATGGAAATGTGTCTGTTAAATAACAGGAAACGATCTAGAAAAAAAAAAAACTCTTAAGATAAACTTACCTACTTTAAAAAATAATATTGATATTCCACTTGATAAACATGATCTGTCTTCCTCCTCTCCCCTGCCTGTGGGGATCACTGGCAGGATGCTAACTGAGCTGACAGTTACCTGATTGTGCTACACCTGGGTGGGTAGGATGGCAGACTTAAGCTATTTATGTCCAACCCACAGGGACCCAAGGAGATGGATGGTGGCGGCCGTGGTTTTTCACCTCGTGCTTCCCTAGAGGAAAGGTAATTCCTTACATAGAAAAGCAAGCATGGAATCTACTTAAGGAAGATGCTTATCATTTACAAACCCTCTGTTCGCTATATTCATCATGATGGGTGGGGCTGCTAACTGTGAATAAGTGAAAAAAGAGGCTCTTCCTTGGTTCAGCTATGCAGATAAAATGCACCCATGCTCTCTGTCTCGCTGGCGTCCATCGTGATATGATGTCATCATTTTACTGAGCTTGCCATTCCTTTCAGCTCCTGTGCATTTCTGAAGGCAGAGACAACGTCCTGCATGTGCTGTATCATCCCAGGGCAGTCATGGCTTTTGTCTTACAGGAGTGATGGTTAATGAAAAAGGAAAGGAATGAATACAAAATGCAAACATTATTACTTTTCATTATTCTAGCAGGGCAATGTTTTTTTTCTTGTTTTTTTATGTTTTTGTTTTGTTTTGTTTTGTTTTTGAGACAGGGTTTCTCTGTGTAGCTTTGGAGCCTTTCCTGGAACTCACTCTGTAGACCAGGTTGGCCTCAAAATCACAGAGATCCACCTGCCCCTGCCTCCTGAGTGCTGGGATTAAAGGTGTGCGCTGCCGCTGCCACCACCTTGCCTTTTTCTTGATTATAGATTAAAGTCATGCACATTGTTGACTTGAGTAAAAATTCAGAAATGGCTTCCTATTTTTTAGGCCAGACTGTTACTTGCTTTTTTTAAACAAGTGTTACCTTTCTATGATTTCTTGATAAAAAAAATAAGGACTCAGACTTGATTCCAAAGTTCAGACATCAGTAAGGCTAAATACAAAGTCAAGTTTGAATAAGGAGATTCCTAGAAGAGCTTCTGTTCTTCAAATAAGGTAAGGCTTTTCAAGGAGCAAAAGCTGAAAAAAAAATGCCAAAATAAGAAATGATTTGGAATTTCTGATATATGAAAGATTAAAGCACTCCAAGGCTTTCCTTGCAGGAACAGGATACCGCTCTAATAATAAAAGTACAGTGTTTGCTTCTGTTTGTCTTGGGTTTCGTTTTTTCTTCTTGGATTTCCCTGCAGAGGAAGGGACTGTGGCTTAGGTAACGAGAAGAAAATGCCTTACAGCCAAGCTGTCGTGTTTCCACTTGAGGAAGGCAATCTGTAGTGAGACCATTAGTCTACAGAGGAAATTTCTATGAGAAAGCTATTTTGAAGAAATGGAGAGGCCTCATACTGTGTGCAGCACAATGGTGGTAATAGTTGGGGTGCCTGTGGATGAGAAGTACACAGTGGCCTGCTGTGTAATTAAAGAGGGATGTTAGAAAGATTGAGACGCCCCATACTGAGTCCACAAAGAACACAAATACTTTTAGGGAGATGTGATGGAGTTATACAACTAGTCACCAGGTTTTCAAAATAAATTAAAGGGTACCTGTTAATCTTTGCAGACAGATAACACTTTTTTTTCTTCATAGACTAAAAGTACTCATTCATCATTGATTGTTGCTTATCTATTTTTGATACCACTTTTTCTCTCTCTCTCCCAAGGCCACTTGCTTTAGGAATTTTGATGGCTGTTGAAGGTAGAGCTATGGTTATAGTTTTGTAGAATAAAGTTTCATTAATAATATCATCGATACCATGTCATTAAAAATTTAAAACTTTTAGGTAAATCTGCAGCAAAAGAAAATTTTAAGGTCTTATGCATACCTTGTCTGTCTTGCAAAAATCAGTGTCTTTAGGGGAGTTTCTTTTCCCTCCTATGCTCTACTATAAGTTAATTAAATTCTTTTTATGAACTTTGATAAATTTTAGGCTTTGAAAAGAAGAGGGCATAAGCATATTGGGGTTATGGTGAATTCACTCTCTCCTTCCTTCCTTTTTTTCTTCTTTCTTTTCTTTCCTTCTTCCTTTGCTGAAAGTAATATTTAGTACATATGACTTGAAGCAGTATCTAGAAAATCCTGTTGAAAACAGCTTCTGAAGAAGGGGTTCTTTCTACCTTCGTACATTCTTTTAGGCTCCTCTTTAAGGCTCATTAGACAATGAAAGGCAGGTTGTCTGTTGTCCGTGACTTACCCATTCTCATCCACTGGTTCACTAGCTCTAAGAAACCACAAGGAATACTGTGTCTATTCCCCACCACAAACATACCTTTCCATCAAGTATTTAGCAGTTAGGATTCAGTTAACTAAACTCTTGCATTGTTGCTGTGTACAAAATGCTGCTTTTATTGCTCATGTTTGCCAAAATTTTGCAAATCTTAAAGTTGAAGAGTTATTATGTAAGAACTGCCATTTTCTAGTTTTACTAATGGACTAACATTGTCAAAAACATTATTCTCCAAACATCACAATTTTATCAAAAGGGCTGAAGTAAGGAAAGTCAGAAAGAACCAGGACAACCAAAGGTACTAGAAGAATCTAAGACTGTTATGGTAAGAGGAGGTGTCTGTAGCTAGAGTTTTCCTGACTGGCCCACAGTCAGGACAAATCTCTCTCACCTGCCAGTCCCACAGCCACTCAGACCCGACCAAGTAAACACAGAGACTTATATTGGTTACAAACTGTATGGCCGTGGCAGGCTTCTTGTTAACTGTTCTTACAGCTTAAATTAATCCATTTCCATTAATCTATACCTTGCCACATGGCTCGTGGCTTACCGGCATCTTCACATGCTGTTTCTCATCATGGCGGCTGACAGTGTCTCTCTGACTCAGCCTTCCACTTCCCAGCTGTATTATCCTCCTTGTCCCGCCTATACTTTCTGCCTAGCCAATGGCCAATCAGTGTTTTATTTATTGACTAATCAGCAACACATTTGACATACAGAACATTCCACAGCACTTCCCCCCCCCCTTTTTTTTTTTCAAAAAGGAAGGTTTTAACCTTAACAAAGTAAAATTACATATAATTTGGGAATTTGGGCGTAGCTTCTCTTACTACTTCCTGCTGGAGGGGGGCGCTGTATCTTATGGGGACACAAAGAAGGATTATGGAATAGTACATGAGGGTGTATCGTCTGAGCCAGTTGCCTTCAAACCATTCTGGATGTTGGATCATCTGGGCCTTGGTGTCATCGGAGACCTTTCGGGGGTCTTGGCTGGTCAAACCTGATGTATCTTAATCTGGAACAAATCCATAGCCTTTGGCTTTCTGTGGGAACAAAAGCAGAGACTCTTTTCCAAAGCAACATATCCTTATATTCAAATTTTGAAGTCAAGGTATCTTTAAAATATACATATTGGTTTAACTCAACATCTTTTACGATCAAATGTTTTTCTGCAGTTAAAAACCCCAAAGACAACACAATCCAGACTCTCTGTGCAATATTCATCTTTACATGGCTTATTTTTTATATTAATTTTATTGTCTCTTTAAAGATTTTATTTTTTAAAACTATGTATTTGTTTCTATAACTGTATATATCACCTTTTTTGTCTCTTTCAAGCCTATGTATATTTTACACACATTGTAAACTATTACATCTGAATCTGTCTTATTGTGAATCTATTCTTTAAACTGCAGCAGCTGTGGCTGCTGGCTCCGCCCACCTCAGCTTCCCAACATGGCGGTGGTGTTTTCCACCAGCTCTGGAGCTATCGTGGATCTCTATGCTTTTATCCAAGCAGCATGTAGCCCAGAAACCTCTTTTTTTTTGTTTTGTACTAGCAAAGTCTAAATCCACCATGCAGCTTAATGTGCCACTTGCAGAGGCCTCATTCCCGCCATACTGCAGGTCGAGCGCACACGCTAGGAACCCACAAGTAGATCAAACCGGCAGCTGCCGCTCATTTGAGAGAGACAATTAGGAACTGTTTTTAGCTCCGTTTTAGAATCTTTTTTTCTCTCCGTTTTTAGGTGGAAACTCTTGCCCCACGTTGGACGCCATTTGTAGCTAGAGTTTTCCTGCTTGGCCCACAGTCAGGACAAATCTCTCTCACCTGCCAGTCCCACAGCCGCTCAGACCTGACCAAGTAAACACAGAGACTTATATTGGTTACAAACTGTATGGCCATGGCAGGCTTCTTGCTAACTGTTCTTACAGCTTAAATTAATCCATTTCCATTAATCTATACCTTGCCACATGGCTCGTGGCTTACCGGCATCTTCACATGCTGTTTCTCATCGTGGAGGCTGGCAGTGTCTCTCTGACTCAGCCTTCCACTTCCCGGCTTTATTCTCCTCCTTGTCCCGCCTACACTTCCTGCCTAGCCAATGGCCAATCAGTGTTTTATTTATTGACTAATCAGCAACACATTTGACATACAGAACATCCCACAGCAGGTGTCAGAGTCAGAGATAGACTTTTGGTATCCTGGTGAAAGATCATGATTAACCAGAGAAAGCCTAGTGAAGACCAGAATGGGAGCTGATGAAGAGGTCTTGGGAATTCTTGGACTGGTCTCAAGCTATTTGTTCACCTTTGATTGACTCGTGGGTAGAGAGGAGGGTGGCCCTCTTAGAGACAGGACACAAAGACTCTTGCTTTTGCCTTGTGTATGAAACTTTGGGTTCAGTGCTTGACCCAGACTAACCTTTCGATAAATCTTTTGTTGTTGTTGTTGTTGTTCAATCAATGTGATAAAGATAATTTTCTTTGAGTAGAAATTTAACATTATTTTATAATATTTAATTTTAAAAATTTGATCTGATTTGACTCTACTTTTCCTTAAAAACTGTATTTGACTTCTAGGATGAGAGACTTTGGCAGGGCTTGTCAATTTTGTCTGTATCTCTGGGTCACTTAGAAACTTGGAAATAAATAGTTTATGAGATCACTTTGATACATTCTAAGCAAGTAAGATGTAGCCCAGGAATTGGGATTTTTTTAAAACTCACTGAAAGTGACAAGAAGCCTCCATTTTTCTGGAAGAATCTAATATGTGGCTAGGAAATTAGATACTCCTATGATATTTGGTCATCCCACTCTTCTAACTCCAGACAGATTGCTCAAAGAACTCTTGTATTTCTAATTTTTATGTGTGTTGGGTGATGGATATGAAATACTATAATTGTTTGTAAGAAATGGTAGCTATAGTTTAAGAT